GAGAGCGGGGGTTATGCGGGGGGGGGGAACGGTATGGGGGAAACCCTCGCTTGCACGGCCAAGGCAAAATTGTCCCCCGTCCCCGGGGATGGGGCACCGTCCCCGCGGGCGCTCGCCTGCCCTTACACTGCAGCAGGTGGGAGACGAGCAGCGCTGCGCTCTTGTCGCTGCAGGGCAGCTGCCCCAGTGCCAGGTCCTTCTTGATCTGGAGGGTGAAGAGGTACCTGTGGAGGGGACAGGAGTGTGCCCTGAGAGGGGGGGGCAGGCTCAGCCAGGCCCCCGAGGGCTCTGCTGCCGGGGGGGGCTGGCTGTCCCCACACCTCTCTCTCCTCTCAGCTGGGTGACAACCCAAGAGACGCAGGTTTGAGGGGTCACAGGAGGAGCACTCAGCCCCCGCAGAAAGCTGCATCTGGGCACCATCATGACCAGTATGCCCCTGTCATTGAAATGCCCATTAGTAGGTTCCAGAGTTAACATTCCTTTACGCTTTGGAGGGCATTTGCATCTCTCATGGCTAATGTTGGGCAGAAGTACTGTCTTAGTTTTATTCTTAGTTCCTGTTAGCAATGCTTTCTCTAAAACATAAGAGCTAACAATGTCATTTTTAAAAATAAAATAAAGACTCTTCTTTCAGAGCACAGCTTGAGGCAGGAGCTAGACTGAGCAAAGTCAGACTCGGTGCCCAACTGCTAACACGTTTGGCAGCAAACAACTTGCAGCCTCTTAAGACGGCTGATCCTTCAAGTGGATTTTGTTTAAAAACAGGACCAAAAAGAGATACTCTCTCGGTTTTCGTTTTTTAAAGTACAGAGCTCTGTCAATACTTAGAATAACCACTGCTAACAGCCAGGTCCGGGCGGATGAAGGCAAGCAATGAAAGGCATGCTCCACAATTGCAAAAATACAGGACTGTGCGGTAAGAAAGTAACAGAACAAGTACTGTACCTGGTCAGCTCTTCTCTCAGATGGCCAGGGTCCACTGGGAAAAATTTCACCATAAATTTGAAAAGAACCTCCTTAGGATCTTAAAACATAACATCCTCATAAGTTTTCTTTTACGTGGCTATCGAGAACATTTACAACTCTCTTCACGCATGCTGTCGCCTTACAGAGCCAATTACTCTCAGCCCGTACAAATCAGGGCTGGAAGCCCTGAACATCAGAGCCTGTCCCCAAAACCCCTCCTGACCGGCCCCCCAGTGTTACCAACGGGAGCGAACAGGGAGTTGGACACCTAAATAATACTAAAGAGAAAATGCCCCCGGCAATTCTCTAAATTGCAAAGACCCCTGCCAGGAGCAGGGGGGGTTTCCGTGGGGTGGTATCACGGGTGCCCATCCGGAGCGTGGCCATCAGCGGGGCTGTAGGTTAAACCCGGCCCTCTGAGCACTTGGGGCGCAGCAGCTCCGTAGGACACCGTTTGGGCAAAGGTCTTTTTTGTGGGATGAGTGAGAGCGAGCGGCCGAGCCCAAGGCAAAGAGCGGGGACGGAGGGAGGCAATTTTGTAGGCACCGACCATCCTGGGACACCATGGGATGGCTGAGGGGCTCCTGGAGGGACGGGGGCCTGAGAGGGCAGGCCAGAAGGGACACGGGAGGAGAAACTGCTGCCTGAAATAATCCCACTGCTGATGCACCCAGAAAGGGGAGGCTTTTTACCAGGCTTCCCCCTTACAAAGAAGTCCATGCAGACGCCGTACCGCAGCCTCCCCGTGGCAAATACTGGGGTGGTGCTCTCGACCACCTCCTAATCATCATATATTTGGGGAAAATACCGTTTGGTTCACCGCAGGGATGGAAACAGGCTGAAAGGGGCACTGTGTTAGTGCCGGTCGTGGCCGCAGCAGGGGATGCTGAGCCTGAATTGAGGTCAGGCTGCGCAGCATCTCCCTGCAGCGGCGCAGGCGGGAGGACAGGGGGCTGGAGAGGAGCGGCAGAGCCTGCGAGGGACACGGCTATCCCCGCGGCACGTGGGGGAAAGGAGGGCATGCGGGGAGCGATGCCCGCACACGCACCCACGCACGCAGCCACCCCTGCTCCTGCGCCAAGCTGGCAGGCTATTCACCGCTCAAGCCTCAAATGGTGCAGATACCAGATCGCAAAGGCAGCGGGATTTCTACAGGGTTTTCCACGGGCTGCGGTGTCTTTGCAAACAATCCTACCCAGCCTCACGCTATAAAGTGAGCTCTGGAAAGCAGAGCCCCCCCTGCCCCATCCCCAAGCAATAAAGGCTGCACAAATGCATCTGCGCGAGTCACTTAAAAGAATCTCAGTCTTGAAATACTTACTTTTGACTTGCTTTGTTATGGGTTTTAGTGGTTCCAACCAGACCTGAAATAAGGCAACAAAGAGCGGGGTGAATAAACAGCACATGAGACGGGGAATAAAAGCAGCAGCATCACGCGAGAACCCAACACAATAATGTTGGCCAGCTTGGCTACTGCGGCAAGCCGTCCTGCACGGATGGCTACTCATGAACCCCACGTGGCTATCATCGAGGTTTTGCCAATCAGCTTGTGGCTCTCCATAACTCCCATTTTCAAGGGGTTTTTGGCATCGCGGCAAAACTTCCCGTTAATTTTTTTTCCATCCGGAAGGTGGTAGCAAGCCCCCAGCCGTGCAGGCGGTCGCCGGGAGGCCGTGGCACGGTGCAGCACCGGGGTCCCGCGCCACCAGCCCGCACTCACGTGGTTCCCAGCCTGGCTGCGAAACTCCAGCCCGAAGTACTCCTTCTCCGCAAGGTTGAGGTGGCTGCAGGTGAGGTTGAACAGCCCTTTTCCGCAGGATTTTTGCTGGCAAACAAACACAGCAGGGAAGCAGTGGGTTAGGCAACGCCGACGGCAGCGGTGAGGGGATGTCAGTGAGGTGGGGGAGAAGATTTCACTCCCTGCCTTCACCCCGAGAGGAGATGTGGGATTTTTCCTGACCGTGCTACAACAAAACCTTCCTCGATAAACGCTGCTGGCTTCAGCACGCGGGCCAGGATGACTGCACCCTGTGCGCCCCTCACCCCTGCTCTCGGAAATCGGATCCCTTCTCATCGCTTCTCTCCTTTATTAAGGAATGTAAAGCAAAAAGGAAAGGAAAAGGAAAGAAGTCTTGCTTTTGCAACTGCCACCATCCAGGCATCTCTATCCTTGGCAAACTGGCAAGTGTTCCCCAGGATAAGCATCTGCCTGAACCGGGGATGGCCGTGGCAAACGTGCTGGATTAAGGGCAAACGGGAGCACACCCCAAACCTGCGCAGCGAGCCCGTGTGTGCCCCGACAGCCGGCGACCGGATTGCCGGGGACGAGCTGCTATTATGGTTAATGGTAATTAAGAGCAACAGAACCCTGCGGAGATCCTGCGCCGCGGGCCCTGGGTCAGCCGTGCGCTGTAGCAATATTAATGAAGTGGCACTACACGCTGATAACTACACCGGGCTGTAGTTATTCCCCGTAAACAGCAATGCTTGGCGGGTGTTTTGCTTGAGTTGTCGCCGTGCTGTGTGACACGGCCACGGAGCAACCTGGGAAACTTCGGAAAATGCTCCAGAAAGCACCAGAAATGAACCTGGCAGTGACCCATCCCGACAAAGACCCCGCTACTCCCTTAACTGGTGAAAATCAGACCGAAAATGAGCGTGGGTTAGTGCAAAAGCAAGAGAAACCGGGTTAGACGGCTGCTAAATTATGGCATTTTGGGTGATGGAGAAGGCGGGCTGCAGCTCCTCGTGCCAGCAGCTGCTCCCGGCAGGGACGGGAGGGACCCTGACTGCCGGCGGTGATGCACACTAATAACCACCTTTCAGGGCTTCTCCTGGGATGAAATTGCTGGCTCCGTGCTGAAAGGCTGCTGAAAAGTGATAGCGTAATAACAGCGTTCGCTCCGCAGCACTCCCGGTTCTCCTCGAAATTACTAGATCGCAAGGGTAATTAAAACAATTATAAATGTTTCTTTCCAAGCTAGAATTTTCGAGCATGAAAGGCCTTGGCCTTTTGTCAGGCAGCCGGGGAAGGCAAGCATTTCTTACCGGGTTATTACCCACCACAGGTCTGCTGGGAGCGACCCGCTCTCCCCCATGCCAGCGCTGCCCGGGGCAGGCAGCGCCGGAGGCGAGCGGCCCCATCCCCAGCAAAACCTGATCGCTGTGGAGACACAGCCCTGATGACGCAGAACCTTCCCTCTCGCAGGTGTCCCAGCCTGGGTTTGGGGGGTACCAAGGCCCCCCAACCCATCCTGCCCCAAGCGCTGGGGGACAGTCGTGCTCGGGCAGCATCGGTCCCGCAGCATCAGGTGGGCACTGCGTGCTCCTCCTCAGGTGGGGAGGAGCGCAGTGCAGGGCGGGAGGGTGATGTGTGGGGCTGGCCGCCCCACGTCTGACCCTAAATGCACCTTGGGTGACGTTGCAGGGCCAGGTTAGCACCCCCCAGGCAAAAAACCCAGTGTAGAAGACAGTGAAAAGGAGCGACAAGCGGGGTGAGAGAGTGAGAGGCACAGCCGGAGGCAGACAGCAAAGGAGTGTGACACATGGCGACACTCACACCCATCCCCAAAGGACACTCCTGGCAGCACTTGCGGTCCAACGGCAAAGTCGCGATTCTGCAGCGTTCCCTGCTGCATCCAGGCCTGGGCTTTAGGGGGGAGCGACAGCTCGTGGGATTTGCTGTGCTCTTTCCCCGTCACCCTGGGAGATGCCCCCCGTGTCTTCCGCACAGCCGCAGCTGGTGTGCAATGCCGTGCACCAAAAGCCACCAGCCCCGGTGCTCCCGGTGCCCTCGCTGGGCCGGCGCGCGTGCAGCCAGCCCTGCACACCTCCTGCCAGTGAATTCCCACTCTCACTCATCATGATGGACGTCAGACCACGGGAGACTTTGTCCTTCCCTCAGTCCCAGCAATTAGTAGTTTTTCTGGGCTTGGAGGGTTTTTTTTGCCTTTTCTTTCTTTTTTTCCTTTCCACTGCATCTTGCCCTGTGGCAAATTCCACCAGCGGGATGCCCAGGCTTTGGCTGCCCAGGCTGCAAAGTGCTTCTCTCTCCCTGTGCTGCCCTGGGAGGGCTCCGGAGGCTGCCCGGGCTCAACGCCGCTTTGTCTAAACCCATTCCCGAGCGAAGGGCGACTTTATCGGTGAGAGCACGTGCCAGGTCACAGCTCTGGGCATCCAGGGGTGGAAGGAAGAAGGGAAGCGGCTTTGCAATATCTCCTCTCAGTGCACGGAACCTGTTAAAGGCTGATCTGTGCCTGTCCCCACGCCTGGGGCATTGGGACGGGGGGTCCCGGTGCCCTCCCAGGGCAAGGCGCAGGGCTGGCCGGCAGCATCCCAGCAAGACCCGGTCCATGCCATGGCTCAGCCCTGGGGTGTTTTTGAGGGCACAACAAGGGACATTTGGAGATGTGCCAGGCATCCCCACACACCTTCCCCTGAGCCGTGGGGGCTCACACCTGGCTTGTCAGTGCCATCCCGGGAACCCCCTCCAGCATCCCGCCGAAGGAAATCCTGGGAGCTTCAACAGCCATGGAGAGGGTGCCGGGTCCCGGCCGTCGGCGAGGATGCGGATGGATGGTCCCAGGCCAGCACCCAGCACTGGGAGAGGGACTCATTGCCGTGCAAAGCCAGACTGGAGAGGAACACTCGCTGCACGTGCCGGCAGTGCGACACCCGCGTGAGGCAGGGAGAGATGCACACGCATCCGAGGGGGATCGGGCCCGCCGCGTTTTCTCCCTTTTATTCTTTTCCCTCCCATTATACTGAAGTACTGAACACTCAACGCGAAGCCGAGGGGGATCGGGCCCGCCACGTTTTCTCCCTTTTATTCTTTTCCCTCCCATTATACTGAAGTACTGCACACTCAAAAGAGCTTTCCAAAGTCAGTCACTTGAAATATCTGCTCAAAACTTAGCCCAAAGCGGTCCTTTTATAATGGAGAAGCCGCTAATTCAGCTACTCATTTATTGTACCCATACAGCATCAAATGCACCAAATGTGCATTTCTGTGAAATGCCTAAAAGGGGTTTCCAATACTGTTCCATGCTAAAAAAGGCAATGACCAGGAGTTCCTCTAATGGAAGCTATTTGCTGCAATAACGTCGTGCAGAGCTGTAGTGCTGTAAGTGTTTCGGGCAAATAAGAAAACAGAGATGGAAAAAAAAAATGCAGCAACATTGTACCAGCAGCATCTTTTAAATTGTCTCTCATTATGCCCTGATCTAATCAATATTAAAAAAAAAAAAAGGCATTTTAAAATGACTAGTTTCTTTTTTAAGCTGACTCCAGGTCTAGGATACATAAATAAAACTAAATCAAACAACTTCCATACTGTGCCAAAGGACGGAATTGCTTTACAATCCTCTTTTGTGCAAAATGCTCTCACAAAGAAACAGAGCAGCGCACCCGAGACCGAGCGGTTCTCAGGCTGTGCCGTCAAACCAGGGGACAGGACAGGCTAAGGAATGTAACAGAACTGGAAAAAAACAGTTTTCTCTTACACACTCTGGTCCCATAGGAGATGCAGGTAAGTGCTAGAACAGATCTACTTGAATTAGCTAATTCAATTAGCTACTGTGTTATCAAATCCTAACCAACAGTAAACGCTCAATCACACTTGTAAAAAGATGTTTCTAACACGTAGACAAGATATATCTAGTTTCAGTTATCTATATACATATCTATATATAAATCTAACACAGATATTAATACTTAACATTTAAAACCTCCTTTAGAGCTAGCATTTATTCAACGTGAATTATTACTGACAGTGTCTTGTGGGACATAACTGTCATGCAGAAAGTAAGAGACTCTCTGTTTTTTTGCCTCAGCTATTCACAAAACCGCAGTTTTCTTTTTCAACTGAAGCCCAGGAAGAGATGCAGGCAGATGTTTCTCACCAGGGGTAATTTGGTTAAATATGCTATTTTTATTCTGTTCCCAGATTTTTCTTCCTTGTTGAATTGGCAGCCAGACAAACGAGAGAAGGACTCGGCACTTGTCAAGAACATCACTTCATATTACCTGATTTCCAAAAGAGGATACCAGATAAGTAAAAGCCATTCCTCCTCCTTTATAAATAATGCCAGTGACAGGGGAGAGCCTGAGTGTGTTGGTGCTGAAAGACACTTAGCAATCAGCGCTATGACCTCTTGGTTTGGATTTGAGCTTTTTTTTTTGGCTTTGTTTTTTTGTTTGTTTGTCTGTTTGTTTTTCAAAGCTGAAATCCAGAAGCTATCAGAGACCGTGCAATCCTTCAGAGCAACAGTGGCTTCAATAATTAGCACCAAAAACAAAATACCCGATAAGAATACGATGCCCACTTACATCAACTACAAAGATCTTCTGGGAGTCATCCAGAAACTGGACTTTCAGGTGCAGCATCCTTGAGCGTGCGGCTGAGCGTGCGGCGGACGCGGGAGTCCTAGCGATGTGAGCGGCGTGCTGGGAAGGGAGCCCTGACTCCTCTTGCACACATAATTTCCCTCTCAGCTGGATGGAGAAGGCTGCAGTCACAGATGTGGAGCGGAGGCTGGAGCAAAGCAACTGAGTGCCTAAAAACAAGTTAAAAAAAACCACCAAAGTGATACCTCCCCCGGTTTAAATATCACCACCGCTTTAACGGATATTTCCCCCCCGTGAATTATGGGTTTATTAATAGGGGGAAAGGCCGTGCGGCACTGAGAGTGGCACTAACCGGGCTGGGATAAATACGCGCGTTTACAGCTGGTGGTGAGCGACGCGAGGGCACAGCGAGCCCACGCGTTGTACCGCGGGGTCGGGGAAGAAGAGCCGAGTGGTTCTCCTGCCAAAGCCACCGAGCAGCAAGCGTCGTCTCTCCTCCGCTCTGGTTCGGGTGCCCTAAAAGACCAGCTGGGGTGGCAGATAAGGTCCTACCTGTGTGTGGGCCGGGCAGACGGGCTGGTGTACCGCACTGGAGGCCGGGGAACCTTTCCAACTGAACTCAAAACCAGATGGAAGCCCTTCCCGGGGAGGCAGAGGAGGACTCGCAGCTAATTCCCAGCTGGCACCTTGGTTTGGCATCTTAGTGAAGTCTCACAAGCCTTTGAGCTACCCTGGTTCCCACTTCACCCCTGAAAAGCCCATGTCCACGCACTAGCTCACCCTGCCCACCCTCGGGACCCCCCAGGCTCAGCCCAGGCTGCCCGGTGCTGCCCCCGCCGTGGCGCGGAGGGGACCTGGTGCCGGTGCTTGTGCTGCTTCTCCATCCCAGCTACTGCAGGGACAACGATGAGCTGCCTGACCTCTCTGGCCACTCTCGTCCTGCAGCTTCCCCCCATCTCGTCCGGCAGAGCCCCCCCGTCACTGAGCGCAGAGGAAGGCAGTTTTTGGGCAGGAGCCCCCCTTGCAGACGTAAATGCACTGAGTCACGCGAAAGGGCAGGTGCTGCACTGCCATAGGGCATCGCTACTGGTGCGGCTGCTGGAAAAAGCCACAACCAGGTGTGATCCCGTAGGACCCAGACCCATGGAAACGCATCCCCGCAAACTGGAAAAGCCACGTTAAGGGCTGCGGGGGTTTTGCTCCTCGCTGCCTTCCCGCTTTCCACCGAAACATCCGCTGTAAGTCTCTCCAGGTATTTGCTGTGGTCCCTCTTACACTGGCCCACATTTTCCCTAGTTTTCCTTTTGTCTCCTATATACTTAAAGAAACCCTTCCTGTTGGCCTTGACATCCCTCGCCAGGTTCAATTCCAAGGCTGCCTTGGCTTTCCTTGTTTCCTCCCTGCATAACCTGACAGCATTCTTGTATTCCTCCCAAGCAGTCAGCCCCTTCTTCCACCTATTGTAAACTCCCTTCTTCCACCTGAGCCTTTTCAGAAGGTCCCTGCTCAGCCATGCAGGTCTCCTTCTCCCCTTGCCTGATTTCTTGCTCTTTGGGATGCACTGATCCTGAGCTTGGAGGAGGTGACGCTTAAATAGCAGCCAGCTCTCTACAGCCCCCTTACCCTCTAGAGCCCTTTCCCATGGGATTTGCCCAAGCAATTCTTTGAAACGATCAAATTTAGCCCTCTCCAGGTATTTGCTGTGGTCCCTCTTACACTTCCCAAATATTCCTGGGGCAGGCAGGACAGAGCCCGTCAGGGCATACACATAGCCCCATCTGGGCTGCAGCGAGAAAAAACGTAGAGCTCTTTAGCTGCAGAAAAATTTGCTAGTCTTCTACTAACCAGGACAAAAAAAAAAAAAAAAGGCAGCATAAAAGTTAAAGTAAATCCACTTTTCCACATGAATCTGCACCACAAAGCAGCTGAGCTCCTCTCCCACCAGCAGCCCGGGGGCTGGCAGCACAGCCCGCAGGCACCGCATCCCAGGACCAAACTTCCAGCGCTGCCCTCGGGCCAGGGTTTGAGATCTTTGTGTCCCGGGAGACAGGCGGTGTCACCTACCAACCGCCCGGAAGGACGCACGGGGATGCGATGGAGGAGCCCCCAAACCCCAGAAGAAGCCGAGGCTCCCTGCTACAGGGTCTCCTGACATGCCGGGGGCACCGACCCTGGGCTCCATGGCTCCTATTGGAAGTGGAGCACTGGTCAGCTGCGTTGTGGGTGGAAGAAAAGGGTTTTTTTCACTACTACGACATGAAGGAAGGGGACTGTGTTGGGTTTAGCCGGGCCTCTAGCCATCCTATAGGGGCAATCCTGCGGATGGTGTGGAGCCAGCAGAGGCAAACAAGGCAAATAAGTGCTTTTTTCGGCTCAGGGAGCCAGAAGAGATGTGGGACCAGCAAAGCCCACTTGGGATGTGAGGAGAGGAGATCCACCACCTCAGCAGATAAGAGACCCATTTTACCCCCACCCGTCTCCTTCCTTCTTCTGGAAGTGACTTTGGGGCTGGCCGGAGCGGGATGTGTGAGGAGCACCAGGCTCCTGGCCCGAGTCAGTGCCCACTTCCAGCCCGGTACGTATGTCCTCCGTATCCACAAGGGCAGGGAATAACATGAAAATGGTGCAGGAAAGCACGGAAAAGATGAAGGACGAGCTCAGCCGTACGGGCAGGCGGGGAGGAGACGCCGAGCAGCAGCACCGGAGCGCAGCAGGGTCTGAGCCACAGCATGTCACAGTGAGGACTGCTTCGGGGCTGTGTGCTCAGCCCGTGATTTTTAATACTCTGGACCCAGCTACCACCATCCTGCATTGCACCCGCTCTCCCAGGGGGGACTTCAGTCCACTGAGTGCATCCGACCCCGTATTAGGCTGGACGTGTTGAAGCAGGGTCTTCTTCAGCCTCTCAAACACCCTGGTGTTTGCCAGGATGGACTGAGCAGGACAAGAAACAAGAGGTCTCTTTCCTCCCTCGCCCCTTTCCCAAGGTGAACTTTCACCCTGCTCTTTAGGGTTTGTTGCCCCGTTGGCCCCGGAGGCAGGGGCTGCAGGACGTCCGAGGGACAGCTGAGCTGCTGCGGCTACACTCTGCCGACCCTCCCGCAACCGTGTGCCACCGGCACCGGGCAGCGAGCGAGTTCAGCCCCCGTCCTCCAAAAGGGCTGGCTTTGGGCCCTGGGGATGGGTAGGGAGATGCCCCAAACCTCCCCAGTCCCTCCCCTGGTCACTCCTGAGAGAGGAACAGGCTCTGAGACGCACTGTGCTCCCGCGCATCACTGCGGCGGTGGCTCTGCGCGCTGCTGTGCCACGCGTTTTGTCATGCTTATCTTCAAATTGGGTTTAGAGGAAAGGAAAAGAAGATAAAGTCATGGAGTAGAAGTCTGCCAGGGGATTTTAACCACCGTAGCCCAAAAGGCAAGAACCCACTGCTGAGAAGGAGAAGCACTCATCCTGTTTTTCACACTCAAAACTTTTGCTGTTGGCAGCTGTTGGGGACAAGGTCTCACCGAGGAGGACTTTGGTCCGTGGTGGCCTTTCATACACATTACATTAGACCTTCTCTGCCTCAGCCAGGAGAACATCCACATTCACTTCTCCCCCAGCCGTAACCCTCCCGACCGCAGGGCCAGCGAGCAGCACGGTTGCTCGCCTGCCCTCGCTGGGGACAGGCGCAGGTTTTTTTTTAGTCCTGCTGAACAGCACGAGGCACACGTCACCGCCTGGTTAATAAATCAAAGGCGCAGCACCAATACTGCAAAATGAGGGTATTTCTTTCCAGAACAGGGCACCCACAACGTTCCTGCTGCCACACCAAAAGGAACGGTTTTGCTCTCAGACGGGATCCCAGCTCACGTACTAGTTGCTTTAAATCTTTTATACAATATGCCCCCAAAAAGGTATTTTCAAAAAACGAAGCCTGAAGGAACTGAGTTTGTTTGCCCTAGAAAGAGGAGAAAGAGGGAACAACAAAGGTCTCCTGATGCACACGGGACCATTCCAGGAGGATGGAGCATCTATGCTCCCAAGAAGTTGTGGGGACAATCTGAGTTAGGACCTGGGAAAGCCCTTAAGCTGTGAGGCAGGAGAAATACTGGAGCAGGCTGGAAAAGCTCAGGATGACTCAGACGCAGGTCTGTTAGGGACAGTCCAGGCACTCTCGGTCCTGCCATTGAACCTTCATCAACCACCATCGTTTTTCATTGATTTCATAAGTCATATTAGATCCTGAGCAGACATCAGCAGTTACAGTTGGCTCCCCAAGTCCTGCCCTCCTTCTGCCCCAACCCCCTTCTATTTATTGAATATAATAAACAACAATACACTTGCATTCTCATAAAATTTCACTTGCCAAACATCAGCTAAACGGTCTGACATCACTGTGGTGTAACTCACTACTCATAACCAGTTACTGGGACAATGGAAAGGATTGCATTTTTAATGTTGTGTTTTGTTGGGTAATGTTGTGTTTTAGGTGGGTTTTGCTCCCAGCTGCAGGATGGGGCTTCTCCAACCAGTGCTTTCTTTTGAAACCAGAAGGTGACATTATGCAGCAGCATTTTTTTCTCCGGTTTGCCCCATCCTGCTGTGATGGTGCCTCCTCATCTCGCCAACGTGCCCACCGAGAGCTGTTCTTGCGGCAAATACTCCTCACTGAAAGCAGCTCCACAGACACCCTGGGGCTCATCAGCATTAATAACTTGTCTTATTAATGGAGGAGAGAGCTTCTGCACTGACGGGAGGAGCAAAGGTGAACGCCCCTCGCCTTTGACTGGAAATGAAGAGAGGTTTAAAGACGAATGGCACCATGTGACAGCCTCTCGCCGGGCTGCTGCAGAGCAGGGGGTTGCACCCGGTTGCAATAATAATTAAAAAAAAAAACAGGTTTAACTGAGTTTAAGCACTAAGAGAAATTAGAAGTGAATCACCCTAATCCCCCTCATTTATTTTTTCCAGCAAGAGTTTGTGATGCTCAAGGAAGCAGAGTCATATCAAATCTTATTCTTGCGATTATATTTTTAGTTCAGCTTCAGCAGCTGAGG